GTATCATGAGATTTTGAGTGCAAACCTCCTTCCATCAGCAAGGGCATTGAAGATGAAACGTGGCTGGGTCTTCCAACATGACAATGATCCCAAACATACCGCCCGGGCAACAAAGGAGTGGCTTCGTAAGAAGCATTTCAAGGTCCTGGAGTGGCCTAGCCAGTCTCCAGATCTCCACCCCATAGAAAACCTTTGGAGGGAGTTGAAAGTCCGTGTTGCCCAGCGACAGCCCCAAAACATCACTGCTCTAGAGGAGATCTGCATGGAGGAATGGACCAACATACCAGCAACAGTGTGTGCCAACCTTGTGAAGACTTACAGGAAACGTTTGACCTCTGTCATTGCCAACAAAGGATATATAACAAAGTATTGAGATGAACTTTTGATATTGACCAAATACTTATTTTCCACCTTAATTTGCAAATACATTTTTTCCATATCAGCTAATGTGATTGTCTGTCTGGATTTTTTTTCTCATTTTGTCTCTCATAGTTGAGGTCTACCTATGATGCCAATTACAGGCCTCTCTCATCTTTTTAAGTGGGAGAACTTGCACAATTGGTGGCTGACTAAATACTTTTTTGCCCCACTGTATATATGGTTAAGATTTTTAATACTATCTAGTATGTGAGTTATGTTTTTATTTTTTTACGTATGCAGGTCAAGCTGTCCAGAAGTGTCAGTACGCTGTATGCATTTAATGTTGGCTTTACCTTTTACATGCATAGAGCAAAAAAAAAATACATCTAAATGCTCTCACCGAACACAGATTTTGGTAATTTTATTTTACTCAGCTAAACACTGCAGACCAGAATGGAGCAATGTGCATGTACCCATTAGGATACAGTACGGCTGCATTCAGATCACATTTTATTACAGTTCTGAACACAGTAAATTGTACGCCAGTGTGCATGAGCCCTTCAGAGGTTGGCCCAGGCTTTTTACTCCAGAATGTTATATTTACATATTTTTTTTACAATGCCTGTCTGGGACCGTGTAGATGATACTGTAAGAATGTGTTTTTATTTGATACAAAGTCTGATTTAAAAGTGCTACAACACGTACATGAATTGCCATCTGTGTAGGTATTTTGGTTTACACGTGATTGTGGAATGTATAATAAAATTGTCTTATGATGGGTGTGCTGACCTTGTGTCCTATCATGTTGTTCAGATGGCAGTTCCTTTTCCTTTCTTCTCCTTTTATTGCTAATGAGAATAAAAAATTATGGATATTTTGCATAAATCTAGTTACACATACAATTTAGTTGCATTATTTTCTATTTTTTTTTTTTTTTTTTTTTTATGGAGAGAGCACCACTTGTTGATGTGTATACATTACAATCTCACTAATTAGGGAAATTTGTTATGAGAGAAATACATTGGCTATCTTTGTTGACATCCTGCTGTAAATGCTGATTGCTTGGGTGTGATGTTGACCCATTTGGCCTCAGTGTTTTAACCGCCTCCCGCCTGGCCTATAGACAAATGATGGCCGAGCTGGAGTGCTGCTATAATGGGTATGTTGTATGACATCCTCCCAGGATCGCGCTGTGGCATAATCTCACCCACTGGACACAGTGGATGACCGCTCAGTGTACCAGGCCATTGCAGGTCCCGTGTGACTGCTGTAACCAGTCACAGATCTCGTGGCAATTGTACACCATGAACGGCTTCCATTTGTATTGTCCTGGCATTTCTCAAAATGAGATCGGCATCAGGATTGTGTGTGTGTGTATCTATATCTGATCTGGGCTGGAAGGGGGGTGAAAGTGTCTGTTTGGCATTATAGTGGTTAAAGCCTAATTTCATACAATTGGTCATGAAATGGAGGGCCCACTGCACTGCAAGGGTTAAATGCTACATGCGTCTAGTGCAGTGGTCTCCAAACTGTGGCCCTGGGGCCAGATGCTGCCCTTTGCTTGCTTTTATCCAGTCCTTGGGGCACTATTTCATCCACTGACAGCAACAATGGGCCTTTATCCCCCCGCTGACACCAATGATAGAGAACAATTCCCCCCCCCCCCCCCCCATGACACCAATGATGGGGCACAATTCCTTCCAATGACACAAATGATAGGCACTGTTCTTTCCACTGACACCAAATATGGGGCATTTTTATGGGGCCGACTGAAATTTGGACCTTTTTGACTACCAATGGTCACAGTCCGGCCGCCCTAAAATCTGAAGGACCGTAAACTGGCCCTTTGTTTATAAAGTTTGGAGACCCCTGGTCTAGCAGGTAGAAGAATAAGTAGTTTACTCCTCACTCAGACGAGCCCTTCCATTTTTGTGTGACAAGTCCTCCAAAGCCTCTTCTCGGGCTTTCCACTGGTGGTTGCACTCTAGGATCATCAAGTAGAATGCAGGACCAATAGCCCTGCAGTATAAGTAGGAAGGCAAGGGACCATCCATAAAGCAGGATGGAGAAAGCTCTGAAGCAAAGGCTTCAGAGTAGTGTAGTGTACATGTACCTTGGGCTACATGTACACTATGCTCCTTTTGGACTCCAAGCTCCCCTGGCCTCTGAAAAACACTAAAGGCAGCAAAAATGTGTGTAAATGCGGTACCGCATTTAGCGCTTTGGCGTTCATTTTATTGGCTAGTGTACTTGCCATTGAAATTAATAAATGTGGCTAACACTTAGGCTCGTTTTATAAGCATTTTTGCTTTTTTTGGCCAAAATGTTCCTCTCCTGAATGCGATTCTTCAGCATTCAGAAAAAGGGGCGAGTTGAGTTTAGGGGCTTTGGCAAAAAAAATGCCAAAAGCTCCTAAACTCACGTTTAGGAGCAGCAGTGTGCATGAGGCATTCCTCTACCCCTAGACGTAACCTTTACCCTTTTCCTACTTCAAGGGTAATTTTTGTGTACTTCTCAGAGTTGGTCTTTAAACCTGAATGATCAACTTTGCAGTGCAGTGATGCTCCTTTCATTGTGCGATCAGTAGGGTTTGCTTAACCTCCCTGGCGGTATTCCTGAGTGTAGCTCGGGGTAAAGTTTCAGTACCAAAAGCGGTAACCCCGAGCTACACTCGGGCTTTCCATGAAGCGTTGCATAGGGAGTCCCTGCAGCGCTTACCTTGTCCTTCGCTCCCGCGATGCGTCCCCTGCAGCGTCCCCGGCAATCTCCGGCCGATTCCGGCTTCCGTGTTGCGGTCCCTGTGAAGTCAGAATGTACGGGCGCCGGAACCGGCGGCACATTTTGAAATTTTTTAAAAAAGTCATTTTTTTAAAAATGATTATTACATAGTAAAACATTGCTGTTTCAATGCATTTCACATACATTTTGTCCCTACTGCTTTGTCCTGTCCCCTGCCTGCATTTTGACTGTTCTTTCTGCCTAGAAATTTAGAAAAGTCCACGGCGTCCAAAAAGCGTCCCTTTACGTCAAAAGCGGTTTTAGACCGGCTAGAGAACAGCGATAGTAAATCAGAACCACTTGCAGAATTGAGTGATAATGATTCGTGGGGGAAATTCGTCATCAGACACTGAAAACAATTTTGCGACTTTGCTCAGTGATGTGCGAACTTGGCGCTATATTTCAAATTTCAGTGTTTTTGGTTTGATTATATTATTTAATTTTATTATTATATTGTTATTTTTTATGATTATTTATTAAATTATAATTTATGATTTTGTTTCAAGTTTTATCATATCCAGAATGTTTATTAGACTCAGATTTCAGTGAGTTATTCCTAAATTACAGCCTACAATATAAAAAAAAATACATATTTCCATGTAAAAAAAAAAATGGTACCGCTTTCAGCACCAAAAATTTGAAATAATCATACCGCCAGGGAGGTTAATGGCAGTGAAGAAGAGTGAGGACACAACCTTTGCCCATCTGGCAGGAGTTCCACACTGACTAAACAGAATAACAGATCATTTGGTAGATAGGATTTGAAGTGACTTTCAGTCCTGACCCTTTTTTTGTAACATACACTGGTATTGGAGAGTTGTTCAGTAGATTGCTCTCGGGGTAACAGAAAGTAAAGGAAAACTTGCTTTGCTGTGTAGGCATTCCTGGTACCATGAGGTATTACAGGGATGGGCAGTTCTTCAAAGTACCAAGCATTACACTGCTCAATTTTGTTTCCTTCCCACAACAAGTAAATAGGCAAAAGTGTAAACTGCTCAGATGAAGTGATCCCAGAAAAATGTAAAATTGTCGGACAAAGAATCTGCAGGGAGTGCTCCCTTGCTGTTCTGTGTTTTGTAGAGCCTACAGATATCCAAACCATAGTCACAGTGGATAAGAGTGATCTACATATTGACCCATCCAAATGTTTTGATTGGTTTCAAAACCTGTCTGCATAATGTATGTAAATATGTGTACACATGGATTGAAATGCTGCTGGTTCAACAGGGATTGGCCAAACTTCAGTCTGTGTGTAGCCACTTACTGAACAGGAAATGTCTTGAAAACAGCTTCGATTAATGGCTTGCAGCCAATGGCTGCAGTGCTGAATAGCATATTCTGAGACCGGGGAGTCCCCACTCTCCGAATGCAATGTTCCGTGTGGGGGAGGGGGGATTCCTGCATCTATATAACTGGTAGAGCAGTGGATAACATCAGTTCTGGACCAATCATTCCAAAATCTAGGAACCAGCTCCAAAACTCAAGGCGCTTGCAACAATGTGACTGGCCTGACTAATGCAGTTCTCATTGCATGTAGCATTTATTTCCCTTTGGGAGAGGAAATGTCAAATCTTTCCAACAGGACACAGAAAAAAACCTCTTTAGCAGATTTAGAACTTCAGACAATGATTGTTGTCTGTGCCTTCCGGTTCCAGTGACAACTGCTACCCCCATTTCTTCAAGTTCTTATTCTAGTGTTACAAGCTCAAGAAATGAAGTCTCCCCAGTTGGGTCACATACGGAAATAAAAACCTTGCAAGTTCTTGACCTACTACCCACCAAAAATGCAGTGTTATTTGTTGGATTCTAGTTGTGATGATACGTGTCGAACTGGTTTTGAATGTTTTGCATTTTTATTCTCAGGTGGTGAACTTGCTGATGGGCATTCTACTGACGGTGAAAGTGACTCATCCTGACACAGTACCAGCAGTTGACATCCAATATGAAGTTATCGGGAATTATTATGCCTCGGAGCGGGTGGCTGGTGAGTCCATGGTCTTCTCCGTTCCGGTGTAACGTGTTTGCTGTAGCCAGCTGACATTGGTTTATTTACTCAATGTTTTATGAGCTATTGTGAAAGGCTGAGAGCACAGTTTGCTACTTTAGCTTTGTTTCCAGTTTTGTGTCTGTTTTTCTATATCCCACCCCCCCTCCCAATCCCAGGGTGACATCTTGGTTTCTTTTACTCCTCCTCTTTCTTCAGCAATGGGTGGAGGTCCTCAAGGCTGCAGAAATTGGTGCCATGTAATGCCAGGATTCTCCTGTGAGTTCAGGGCAGATGAATATTGCAGAGCCTTGATTCTGTGCACTCCCAGAAGTGGATTAAATGATTATGGTCATCATCACAATAAACACAAACCCTTCCATTCAGGACATGGAGGCTATTTCATCACATCAGAAAATGGTTGGGTGTGCAAAGATTGCTAAAGGCCATACAATATAAACTCACCGGCCACTTTTATTAGGTACACCTGTTCAATTGCTTGGTAACACAAATTACTAATCAGCCAATCACATGGCAGCAGCTCAATGCATTCAGGCATCTACACTCACTGGCCACCTTATTAAGTACACCTTGCTAGTGCCAAGAAAATATCCCCCACATAATCCCACCACCACCAGCCTCAACCATTGATACAAGGCAGGATGGATCCATGCTTTCATGTTGTTTACGCCAAATTCTGACCCTACCATCTGAATGTCACACAGCTTGAACAAGCAACAGATTTTCCAATCTTCTTTTGTCCAATTTTGGTGAGACTGTGCGAATTGTAGCTCCTATTTCCTGTTAGCTGACAGGAGTAGCACTCGGTGTGGTCTACTGCTGTAGCCCATCTGCTTCAAGGTTTGACGTGTTGTGCGTTCAAAGATGGCATTCTGCATACCTTGGTTGTAATGAGTGGTTATTTGAGTTCCTGTTGCCTTTCTATTATCTCAAACCAGTCTGCCCATTCTCCTCTGACATCAACAAGGCATTTTTGTCCACACAACTGCTGCTCACTGGATATTTTCTCTTTTTCGGACCATTCTCTGTAAACCCTAGAGATGGTTGTGCGTGAAAATCCCAGTAGATTAGCAGTTTTTTTTAATACTCAGACGAGCCTGTCTGGCATTAACAACAATGCCACTTTCAAAGTCACTTAAATCCCCTTTCTTCCCCATTCTGAGTCTTCGCCACATTTAGATGCCTAAATACATTGAGTTGCTGCCATGTGATTGGCTGATTAGCAATTTGTGTTACCAAGCAATTGAACAGGTGTACCTAATAAAGTGGTTGGTGAGTGTACATGTATCACCCTGAGGGGATTGTTCTTCCTTCTTCTTTTTTTTATTTTCTTAATTTTTTTTCTTTCTTTGTTTGGAATGTTGTTCTACTCAAAATTGTTTCTTTGGTCGATTGTGATTGACATGGTCATTGTTGAGATATCCCTTGCATGCTTCTTGGCTGTATACCATCCACTTTTCAGGTTTTGGCTTTTTCCATCTACCTCTTCTCTTATTGTATTATTCTCAATATGCAAGTAGTAGAACATCCCATAAGGAGAGTGCAATCCACTTTCACTCTTGTTTTAAGTTGTCAGACAAGTTAGTTTGATGCAGCTACTGCTTAATTCAAAATAACATTTTAAGTCTCATCTGCCAAATAAAAAGAAAAACTCTGCCTGCAATTGTTTTGTTATCTGTACATATGCGCAGTGTACAGTCCAAGGTGATTCCTGGCATCTGTAAGATGTCAAGACTGATGTCAGACTCCAGTGCACCTGTGTAGGAATATCATCATCAGTAGCCGATGGCTGAAGCCAGAAAATCCCTGACCCGGAAGAAGATGCTAGTGGCTGCAGAAAGTTTGATAACCTTGCCTTAAAGTGTTACTAAACCCACGACAGTAAAATCAGCCTGTATATGCAGTAAAGCATGCTTGTTATACGCACTGTGGAAGTTAAGGGGTTAATCCTCTGCATTGTGTAAAAAGGATGTTTGATCCTGACTTCTCTGATCCTCCTCTTCTTCCACATTCCCCATTTCATCTCCTGATAAAAAAGAGCCTCAGGGACACTCTGCACATGTTCAGTTTGGTGTGTATTGCTAGAGAGGTTTTTCTTTTTCTTGGGAGGGTGCATGTGATCAGCACAGGGCCAATCAGCACTGTCCAGACAGGGGTCAGGGGTCTGGACTCATAGGGCAGTGAGAGGAAAATGAAAACTCCTACAAGCTTTAACCACTGCTCAGCTAGACACTGATAGAAGTCACAAGACTGCTCTAACTGCTGATGGGAAAAGGTATTTAGCAGTTTATAGTTACTAAAATAATCTGCACGTCCACGTTCTATGTACTGTGGGAGACCAGATATAGTGAATGCAGGTTCCTGGTTTTAGTAACACTTTAAAGCGGAGCTCCACCCAAAAGGGCAAGTTCCACTTTAAGCCTCCATCCTCCGCTCCCCATTAAGGATTGGCCCCTTTGGGGAGCAGGTACCCAAGTTTGACAGGTACCCGCTTCCACTTCCGCTGCGATTGCCTAGGCCAGGGGTAGGCAATCTGCGGTTCTCTAGCTTTTGTGGAACTACATTTCCCATGAGACATTGCAACATTAAAAACTGACAGTTACAGCTATGACTTGCAGCGGCATGATGGAGCTTGTAGTCCTACAACAGCTGGATAGCTGCAGGTTGCCTACCCCTGGCCTAGGCGATCAGAAGCGAAAGTTATTCCCCCTCTCCCCATAGTCTTCTGGGGCATGTGACGGGTCCTAGAAGACTACGGGGCTATTCGCAAATCACAGTGGGCACCCAGCTGTGGAGCCGCAAGCTATCACAGCCGGGTGCCCACACTGAAGATGCCGGGGAGAGAATATGGCCGGTGAAACCAGTCGTGGTGTGGACACCGCTGGACTGAGGGACAGGTAAGTGTCTGTATTTTAAAAGTAATCAGCTTTTGTATCTGCTGACTTTAATTTTTTTTTTTTTTTTTTCAGCTGGAACTCTGCCATAATGTGCAAGTACACACAACCTACTTGCACATTAAAGCAAATTCTACCCAGCCATCCCACTTCCAGAAAGTTCTGCTTTAAAGGCTAACTCCACCTCTTATGCCGTGTTACACCCGTGTTTAGGGTGTAACATGGTGGCAAGCAGAGTCCCCCCCCCCCACCCCCACATTTACAGAGATCTGCTTCAGCAGACACGGACTTGCAGTTCTCAATTGCACACAAGTGCTGTGATTACCACGCTCATGGTCCGTTAACCGTTCCTACAGTTCTGTAACTGGAAGTCTGTACCTCGTTATGGACATAGAACTATATGAAGAGTCTGTAGGAGAGTGCATTGCACTAGTGAACGCATTTCCAATGCTTTGCAGGGTTGTTTGCATAAAAAAAACCCATAATAAATTCAATTCTTTTGCTGCAAATATGGATGGATTTTTATGTTAACTTTTTTTGAAGAAGGGGGAGTTACTCTTTAAGCATCTTTTGAGTGTGAAACAAGCCACAGCTTCAGCTGATACTTGCCTTTTACCGTCAATGAATCTTCCAATTACTAAACTCACTGCCAGCAATTTTATGCACCTTTTCATTCTTTTTGCTCAAAACGCATTCATGTTTTTACTTTTTGTGGCATCAGCCAAACATCAAAATCTGTTTGCTTAGACTTGCCCTTTAAATACTATATACTTGTATATGTGTAGCTGTAGCTTTGGTTTCATGTAACAAAATGGTGTGACTTGAAGTGAAAGTGACTGTCATAGTGAAACTAGTTGTGGCATGGCATTCACATTGCAGTGATCGTAATATGTAGAAGTCAGAGTAATAAGTGATATTCTGTTGGCTTTGTTTTGCAGAAAATGCCTGTGTGCTGTTTGCCATCTCCCTGTTAATGTTCACCATGAGTGCTATGATGGTGTATGGAGCAATAACGGTGGGTACACATCTTACTGGATAAAGCATGCTTTACTACAACTTATTGTATGCAGGGATGTTAACATTAGGGTTACAGGGGCATGTGCACTATGCTCTACTATACAGCATTTTCCATATTGTAACGGTTATATAAATTCCAGGCTGCATTCAGTTATTTTAAGTGTTCAGTCTGAATGTGCAAGTCCAACTAGAGTATTTGTGGTCAACTTTCTTAATTTCGAAGGCCTCACATGTGGCCCCTGATATGACCATAGGGCTGCACATATTATGCAGTGAATAGAATGCTACAGAAAGTTGTCAAAGTCTACACACATGCAACAGGAAATAGTCAAAGACTACATACATACAAGAGATTGGCAGACTGCCAGCAAACAACAGGAAATGGTCAAAGACTACATGCATGCTACAAGAGATTGGCAGACTGCCAGCAAAAACAGGAAATAGTCAAAGACTACATGCATGCTACAAGAGATTGGCAGACGGCCAGCAAACATGAGATTGTCAAAGACTACGTGCATGCTAAAATATATGGTCAGAGCCTGCAGACCTACAACAGGAGATGGTAAGAATCCAAAGGACTGAAAGTTGTGCACCAGGGTCTAGAGCAGTGGTTCTCAACCTTCCTAATGCCGTGACCCTTTAATACAGTTCCTCATGTTGTGGTGACCCCCAACCATAAAATTATTTACCCAGTAATTATAATTCATGAGTGTCGTTTTGCCTCCAATACTGCTGCTTTCAACACAGTAGCTGCTTTGTACACAGTAGCTGCTCTTTACACATCGGAAATATGTGTTTTCTGATGGTCTTAGGGGACCCCTGTGAAAGGGTCATTCGACCCCCAAAGGGGTCGTGACCCACAGGTTGAGAACCACTGGTCTAGAGCAACTGTGAGCTTACACAGGGCTTCTTTTCCTTGTTTCTGGAAGCTGAAAGGAGCAGCAGTCACAAGAGAAGAGTGTGAATATAGAATGCTGCCGAAAAGAAGAAGCTTATTTGTTTGTATATTAAGACCTCATCTCCTTACTCCCATTTACCAGTAAACTTCTAGAATGCTTAGTCTACAACCATCTGGGCTCCTACCTCACTGACAACAACCTTCTCCATCCCTTACAGTCTGGCTTTCCAAAGTAACTGCCCTACTAAACCTCACTAACAATTTACTAACTAATAAAACCAAAGGTCAATACTCTATATTCATACTAATAGACCTTTCTACTGCCTTTGATGACACGCTTCTCCTCAAACAAACTTTACTCCTTTGGCCTCAAAGACTGCTCTTTCCTAGTTCTCCTCCTAACACAGTTTTATTTTTCAGTGTTGCCTCTTCCTCTCCACTTCTTTCTTTAGGTTCCCCAAGGATTTGTCCTTGAACCCTTTCTCTTCACTATCTCTCTATCGACACCTACTCCCTTTGTTACTTGATAACCTTCCTTGGCTTTCAATACCATCTATATGCTGATTACCAGAAAAAAGTGCATATATGGAAGTAGCTCCAGACTAAAAGATAAGAGTCCAAATAATTTGATATACATAAAGTATCAAGGACAGTATTCAATTGTTTTTGTTGCAAGGGCACTAATACAGCTACAATCACCTTAACCATCAAGATCTACAATAAACTATCAGTCCCTCCCATCTTGCCTCAAATCCACTTGCTTCCAATTGTCCAGTGGGAAAAAAATTCAAAATCTAACAGCTGCAACATTCAAAGCCATTTGCAACTTAAGCTACATCACCAGTCTTGTCTCCAAAATATCATCCAAACCATCTTCTCTGCTCCTTCCAAGACATCCTGCTTTCTAGCTCCCTTGTCACTTCTTCCATGCTCACCTCTAGGACATCACCAGAGTCTTTCCCATCCCCCTTGAACGCCAATCTGTCTGACTCTCTCCTACTCTGTGCACATTTCAGTGATCCCTAAAGCCTAATGTCTTCTAATTCCTCCATCCTCTCAGTTATTACCTTTGTAACCACTTGCCCCTCCCTAATTAGATTGTAAGCTCTCACAAGTAGGATCCTTCTAACCCTCTTGTATTGTATTGAATTGCACTGTATTGTCTCGCACTTTTATATTGTAAACTTTGTAAACTGGCGCTCTATAAATCCTGTATAATAATAATTTGCCAAAGTCTCCTTTTAATAAATACCCAAGTCTTCCCCTCTTATAGCCTCTTATTATAAAACAGAAGTGCTGAACCTCTGATATGGAACTTTGTGTATGTCCGTATATAAATGTTTAGAATTTGTTTGCCTTTGCTGTGCCAGAACAGCTCGTATCCCATAAATGTGACAGTTGTTGGCCCTCAGGGTAAATGCAGCATAAGGTAAGCCTACATATGGAACTGAAATTTTCATTATCAGCTGCTCAGGATCAACAAGCAGTTAACGGCTACTGAACCACCAGGCACAAGCATTGTTGGGGCACTTTTTTGCTTGTTATGGTTGATTAAAATGTTTATCAGCTTGCAAGGGGAACAAAGTAAATAGCACTTCAGTCAACCAAATTTAATAAAGAGACTTCCTTGAGAAAGATTGGCGGTACCCAATCGATTCATGTCAGTTTAGGCAGCAGGTGACGTCACTAGCATAGGAGCATTGCTGTGAAGTATGCACTGTCATCAGAGTTTTTTTTACTATTACATCCAGTACATGCTGGTGGCTGGTGGCCAGGGCCCAGCCGGTTTGTAAGTTGATTAGTGCTCCTCTTCCTTGTCCAGCTTCTATTGTACCTGACATCAGGCACACACATGCTTGCCCTGCTCAGAAGCAACATGCAGCTGGCAATATAGAGTGAGCGTCTTGATTTTATTTTTATACATGTGATTTATTGCTATACATGTTATTATGTTAATTTTTTGCACGTAGGATTTGTGTATGAGCGCTGCAGAAATTGTTTATAAAATTTATTAAAGAATTTGTTAAAGAAGTGCCGCGGTGGCACCACAAAACAATTAGATACAATCATTGTTCAGGTATTCAGGCAGCTGTGGATGCTGTGGCTGTATACAGTAGCTGGTAGGGGAGTTAACTCCATCTGTGTTTAGTGTGGAGGTGGGAATCGATTTTATTTCAGCAGTGGACTAAAGGAGAGCATGCCAAGGGTGGGTGGTTGTCCTTGGGAAGCGAAAACAATTCCTTTCTGTTGTGACAACAGGAGATGAAGTAAAAGTCAGTCTGCATAAGGGCTTGTTCACACTTGACTAAATTTCTAACTTACCAAATGCTTCTATAGCTTTAATATGGGAATTACACAGGCGTTAATGAGCTTTAGTATGGGCGCTAGACAGGCATTAATGAGCTTTAGTGTAGGAGCTAGATAGGTGTTAAGGAACTTTAGTATAGGTGTTAGGCGTTTAATGAGCTTTAGTATGGGTCTTAGACAGGTGTTATTGAGCTTTTATATAGGTGTTACTGAGCTGTAGTATGGGCGCTAGACAGGCATTAATGAGCTTTAGTATGGGCCTTAAACAGGCGTTAGTGAGCTTTAGTATAGGTGTTAGGCATTGAGCTTTAGTAAGGGCGCTAGACTGGCATTAATGAGCTTTAGTATGGGCCTTAGGCAGGCGTTCATGAGCATTAGTATGGGCGGTAGACAGGCGTTAGTGAGCTGTAGTATGGGCGGTAGACAGACGTTAATGAGCTTTAGTATGGGCGTTAGACAGGCGTTAATGAGCTTTAGTATGGGTGGTAGACAGGCATTAGTGAGCTTTAGTATGGGCATTAGACAGACGTTAATGAGCTTTAGTATGGGCGGTAGACAGGCGTTAATGAGCTTTAGTATGGGCGTTAGACAGACGTTAATGAGGTTTAGTATGGGCGGTAGACAGACGTTAATGAGCTTTAGTATGGGCGGTAGACAGGCGTTAGTGAGCTTTAGTATGGGCGGTAGACAGGCGTTAGTGAGCTTTAGTATGGGCGGTAGACAGGCGTTAATGAGCTTTAGTATGGGCGGTAGACAGGCGTTAATGAGCTTTAGTATGGGCGGTAGACAGACGTTAGTGAGCTTTAGTATGGGCGGTAGACAGGCGTTAGTGAGCTTTAGTATGGGCGGTAGACAGGCGTTAGTGAGCTTTAGTATGGGCGGTAGACAGGCGTTAATGAGCTTTAGTATGGGCGGTAGACAGGCGTTAGTGAGCTTTAGTATGGGCGGTAGACAGGCGTTAATGAGCTTTAGTATGGGCGGTAGAGACAGGCGTTAGTGAGCTTTAGTATAGGCCTTAGACTGGCTTTTTACAAGTGTTAAAAACGCTCCTGAAATACCCAATGTGCAGTTGTGAAGTATTTTACAAGCGTTAAAACCACACCACAAACTAAATAAAGTGTAATGTTATTGACAATCCGCAACCGCAAATTCCCTGCAAACGCCTGCCAGTGCGTTTCAGAAGCGTCACAGTAGATTTGAATGGGTGGCGTTGAGAGGCTCCAAACTCCTCCTGACTCGACATGAGGCTTCAATTTTGAAGCAATGCGATGCTAACGCTTTGTCTTGATAATGTGAACTGGACTGTGTGCTGCCCATAGTATCATTTGCGTAGGTGTTTGAGGAGCGTTAAAACCGCCCCTCAAACAACTGCTTTCAATGTCATTGTGAACTAAGCCTAAGGGGACACTGATGGCAAAAGGGAACGGTGTTTTAACCATTCTGTACTGTAACCAAAACAGGGGGAATAAAAGCTTTTGGGCTTTAGACATGTATTAAGCCGCAGCAACTGCAACTTCCCTGTCCATGGACAGCCCTGAATTGAGGGAAGTGGGACTGCAGGAACAAGAAAACCTAGTTTGAGAGTGACATGGAGGAGGGCTTTCTGACTAATGACATAAATGCAGGCAGTGATGGTTATTCTTTTAGCTAAAACGTGTACTTTTTTAAAATGGAGTACAAACTTTAAATACATTTTTGTGGAGATAAAGGAACAAAATATAAACCCATTCTTAAACAGATATTGTATACAGAATACATTGTATTCTCCTTTTGTGATTAGATGACGCTCCCTACTGAATTACATATTACTTTGTACAGCTGTCTTCACACTCTTCCAGCGAGATTGGACAGTAAAAGATGGATTTTCCTTTTTCTCTGCAGCATCGTGGAGGCTGGCTGATCCCCTTTTTCTGTTACCAGCTCTTTGATTTTGCCTTGACATGCCTGCTTGCAATCAGTTCCCTTACATACCTGCCTGGCATTAAAGATTACTTGGAGCAGCTGGTAAGTGCTTCTTTGCCAGTGTATGTTGTTTGTGATTTGTGGGGTTGTTTTCCTGATATATTGTGTGTACTCATTTTGCACATTTCACAAAAGCTGTTTATATTCTGCTTGAAAGAAAAAAAAAAAAGACAAAAGCAAGCCAGTATTAATTTTCCCAATATGTGAAAGGATTTGTTTACCAAGTTGGGTTGCTCTAGGTTTGCTCTCATGTTTATAGGACCGACCCACAGCACCTCATGGCTGCATGGTACCATGGTTTAATTGTAACAATGTGACACATTTGGGAAATAAGTCCCCTGCTGAATGATTCAGTACTCTCTTTGAATGTGACATTGATGTCCCGCAGAATACTTTTATGGTGCGTATAGTTGGGAAATAGATAAAGTAGAACTCCAGCTCTAATCAGGAACATCTGAAATAGTTAAATACTGCTTATTAAAGGCGTATGCACATGGTGTTCCATTTGCTGTGTTCAGATCTGTAATTTCTATGGATCTGAATGCACTGGTGATGTGTGCTATGGGCCCATACACACTAGTCTTTTTTTGGTCTGTATTTTTTAGTTGTGTAAACAAATACCTGTGTTCATGGTCCAGTATTTGCACTGTATTTTACACTATACACATGTAAATGTTTTTGCTAACAGGTTGATTACAATGGAAATTGACCTTATTCTCTACTGCTGTTCAGGGACAACATGTATATATCAAGAATGTGTAGGCTGCAGACACCACCACTATTACACACTATTAATGTTTACCTTTCCCCTTCTAAATCATTCATTCACCAAGCAGATGCATGTGCAGAATGACCTTGGATGTTCTGAATGACTAAAAGCCAAAGTCACTCTATGAATGTGCCAGTGCAATGTGAATGGCTTATTCAGAGCAAGATTTAAAAACGTCAATAGTCTGTAATAAGTGGCAGTAGCTACTGCTGCCTACACATTGATATTTTCCATGTCAACCCTGATCAGCGGCAACCAATAGGATCCATTTACAGCATACACACAACTGTTTACAAAGGATCATGCTAACAGAATTACACTTATGTGCATGAGCACTAAGGTCCCATGTACACGGGACCCTTCTGAATGATGGAAACTGACTGCTGGAAAACGTAGGTTAAAAAACGTCTGTTTAGCCGTGTTTGTATACTGCATTTATGTGCATTTGTGTTTTAGATACGTTTCTTAAAGATCACCTCAGGAGACCTTCCAAAATGCCCAGAAAAACAGTAAGAAATTAACTATTTCAGACATTTTTAGAGAAATAGAGAGAGCAGAAGCAGAGAGAGCAGTATTTGTTGAGATTAGCTGTCTTTTTTTTTTTTTTTTTTTGTGGTGTTTGGATGTGTTCCAGCTAATCTCTGTGCAGAAATTATTGCAGCAGTGTCTAACATATTTTCTTTCATGTGAAACCTCAAAGTATGGCGTACCAGGTCCATTTGAGTACCGGGAAAACACTTTGCATGCAATTTTCATGATGAAAAAAGGCTCTGGACAGCATCTGGAAATGGAAGAGTTAAAAAATGTTTCCAACATTTGAAATGCTGATAAAATCTACTCCTGAATGCAAGTTTGGGGCGTCCAAAAAAACGACTGTAAACTCAACTGCCTGGAAACGACGATGTGTACATGGACACATAGGAAAACATTAGGGAGAGTTCAGGGGCTGCTGGAAAAAATGCAGAAAAGCTCCTAAACGTGAGTTTATCAGTTGCAGTGTACATGGAACCTAAGGGCTCATGTACACTGCAGCTGATAAACTCACGTTCAGGAGCTGTTGAGAGTTTTTTTCACTATGCAATTTACAGTCATTTACAGGCAGTTGAGTTTACAGTCGTTTTTTTGGAACGCACCAAACTTGCGTTCAAGAGCAGGCATTTCAAACGCTTGTAAACGCGGTTAATCATGTTTAGAAGCGTTTGTTTAGAAGTGTTTTTTAACTGTTCTATATCCAGATGCTGTCCAGAGCCTTTTTTCATCATCAGAAATGCATGCAAAGTGTTTTCCATGTATTCAAATGGACCCAGTACACCAGCTCAGTCAGTTCCAGGTTTCGCATGAAAGAAAAAATGGTAGAACGTGCCGCATTACGCTCATGATGGGATCCATAGTGAATACAACCAGAAAAGACAGGTCATCTCAACACATACTACTCTCTCTGCTTCTGCTCTCTATTTCTCGCAAATGTCTGAAATAGTTAATTTACTATTTTTCAGTGCATTCTTGGCATTTGGGGGGGGGGGGGGGGGGGGGGGGTCTCCTGAGATTATCTTTTAAAAATGCTTCTGAACATAAACGCGCATAAACGCGGTATGCAAACATGACTAAACTGAGGTTTTTTTAACCTACGTTTTCCAGCAGTCAGTTTTCTTCGTTCAGAAGAATTTTCCAAACGTCCCGTGTACATGAGCCCTAATTCTTAACCTTGATTTTCTATCTTTCCTAGTCACGGAGCAGCAGCTAATATTTATTCCGGTGCCTTGTACCTTGAAAGATTGTGTTTGTACATCTCTGACCCCTCTATTACATCTTCCGTACTGATAGCACTGCATAATAGAGCAAACCGAATCCTATTGCACCGTGTGAGCAGAGACTGCCTTTTCTACATAGTTATGACATATAAGGGGTGTAACTACACACAATTCTTCTGCTGAAAGCATTGGGGCCCCATTAAGGAGTCAGTCTACTCCAATTCTGATATTTCACTGTTTGGTAGATGTTTGTGTATTACATTTCTTGTATCTCTAGAGAAATCTTTTGGTGAGGTCTCTACACATCTGTACTTGGGTCTTCATACCTACTGTACCTCTTTTGTGGGGCTCCAAAATTTTCATTAATATTCTGGAGAATATAGCATTTGCAATGTTGCATTTTTTGACATTGCATTGGGGTTATGTGGTCATTACAGGTGCAAATAATTCTCAATGGAGTTATTACAATTGTATGCTGATTAAGTACAGAAGTTCTCACTTTTCAGCTGTAATGTTTTTTATGTTCTGCTGTTCCTTTTGCAGCCTGAATTTCCATATAAAGATGACATGCTTGCTATGGATTCCAGTTGTCTGCTATTCATCGTACTGTTTGTGGGAGCGTTTGTCATCATCCTGAAGGTAAAGTAAAAGCTGTCTTAATTCCAGAATCCATGCAGCCAGTACATCTTAAAAGCTGATACTTGTCAACCAACTTTCCACATAGATTGAAGAAAGGATAAAACCTTTCTTATGTTTTTACTTTACTTTGGGTTCCAATTTTGGGTTGACTTTTTTTCACCCCTGAATTGTGTAGGTCTTTGTTGAAAAACAGTTTTCAATAACAACCGGTAAGATTCTTTCTTTTATGTTGCCATAGTCACAATAGGAGGTTGTCACCAGAAATAATGCCCCCATTGGAGGATTTGACAGGGGTTCTAATACCTCCCCACTCCAAAACTAACAAAAAAAAAGTGCTGCCTGTTGGCTTCCTTCAGTTCATTCATCCTAGTGTTGTCGCTTTGTCCAGAAGTATTTTGTGGTGTTTACAATGAGGAATGAAAAAGGACCAGCTGCATGAGCAGGGGAGAAGGAGAGGTCACTGTTACTTGAAGAGGCACCATGTGGGCTCATGTGACAGCAGATTGAGGGATTTCCTGGGTTTTAGGCAAAAAATATCCACCCATTAGTACATCCCCATACACAAAACACTAAACTGATAAAACCACTTTGGAAATCCTTACCATTGAGGAGAAAGTCTAATTGAATTTTCATGACCTCATCTCTTTAATTCAAAAGATAACACCATCTGCTCTGCCAAGGAGGAGGTGTAACAGCAGGGATTGCATCATATTCTCTTCTCTCTCTGCAGTAAAAGGAAATTACAGTTCCCATCAACCACAGGGAATTGTAGTGAATGTGGGTGGGTACACTAGGCCTGTACCTGTTGCCTGTGTCTGAGGGTCTCACTCCGCCCACCATTGCAGGTGGGGCTGTATTACATCACTACAACCTGGGGGAAAGAACTACAGAAGGGATGTGCCAAGACCAGTGGCTAGGGGAATAGGTGGCATAGCAGTCACAGGTCTTACAGACAGGAAACCAAAGAGAATTAACGGTTTAATTTGAAAATGAATAGGCTATTTCAGAGCAACTATTGAGTGAACCAGAAGATGGATAATCTATTCTGTGAAGGTAGGTAGACTGCAGCAAGGACATGCAAAGTATTTTTTGCCCAGAGTTCTGCTTTAATGTTACCAAGAGAAGGCAGGTTAGCGATACTTCCACTTTTAAGTGAAGGTCCACTTTAGGCATAATCAAGCCTGGAGTACGTTTTAGTGAAAATAAACCACAAGTTTCCTTTTGCATAGGGTTTTTTTTGTTCCTTCTGATGTGTCACGCAACCTGCTCTTCACCAATTTCCTTTTTTTCGTCTTCTCTGATTTGTCTCTGAACTGTCACCAAGCATGTACACATTTGTCACAGTTCATTCGTCCTAGTAATTATTCGTAGTATAAAGTGCTGATATTTTTTTTTTTGTGCAAAACCTTTACCTTCTCTGTATTGTAAAAGTGACTGGGAGGACTGTACAGCTGCCTGGATATTACTAAAAAGCTGGTCACTGCAGTTGCAGACCTGAGCTTGTTTTTACCCACGTGAAGTCTAGGCCATTTATATGTGGTCAATGGTCATCAAGTGGTTAGATCTAAATCCAGTCCCCTAAATCTCCTATACGTTTTTACAACTTTAATAAATGCAGGTTGGAAAATGTTCGAAAATTACCTGAAATTGCAGTACAGTACCTGGCAATCCTGTTTATTAAGGTCTTTGTTTAGGCATTCCCTATTATGGAGTGACCGTATTCTTCTCTCCCAGTTGCTCTCCTGCCAAGCAATATGCAGTTGCCACTAGAACACATGTGTATAGTTGCAGAGAGACTGCAGGAGATCAGCAGCACTAAGATGTATTAACTGATAAGAAAAGGGGAAAACTGTATTTAAAAAAAAAAAAAAAAAAAAGCACTTTAAAGCCAAATTTTACCTTGGGCACAAAAAAGAATACAGGGATCGCTACACAGCTGCAGAAAATAAAAATACAGCTCCAGCTACTATACTCAACGGATAAGTTCACGCTTTGACAAAAAATAATGCACATTTTTTTGCAGGTACAAAATTGTGCTTTTATTATTTTTTGTTTCTGGAGCTTCTAAAGCAATTGCACTTGCAATCGGCAGATTACTGGTGCCATGCACGTCTCCTGCAAATCTGTCAGTATATCTGCTTGCCTATACGGGATGTACAGGCAAGCAGATATACTGAAAGGAAGAATTCGTGAACTACCATGGCGCTCCACAGGACTGTTGTAGATCATTGAGAACTGCAAGCCGTCAGCTGAAAAGCCTTTGGGACTTGTAGTTCATTCATTCACAGAACGCCGTGAAAAAATGACACAGCCAGGCAGGCCATTTTCTTAAAAACGTGACAGCAGGGAAGAGAATATCTCCCCTCTAGCTGTCACAACAAGGAGTGGGAGGTGGTATGTTCATAACATTTTACACCTGAATATGATGAACTTATCCTTTATTATTCACTGTCCCCCTGCAGACTCACTGCGCTGACTCCAGACACCACTTATTTTCTGGGCAGGAAAATGCCAGTTATTATTTAAACCTCTTTTTGTGAGCACATCATTAAGTGTTGCTGCACCCTCCAGCATATAGGTTCTGCTAACTGTAGGAGGATGAAAGGAGGCATAAATGACCTGTGACATTGTCACAATAAAAACCTGACACATTGTAATCTTTCTAATCAATATTTTTAGGGCCAGTTCACACCATAGGATCGCAGTCCAGAGGTATTTTCTGCATGCACGTTTTTGATGCATTCCGGTGCATTTTTCGTGCGTTCTGGCGCATTTGTTCCCCTTCTTTTTTTTTTTTCTTCCCCTTAAATAAGGGCATGTTTTTGGTATGTTCCAGTGCATTTTTTAATGCGTTTTACTGCGGCATATTTCAGTGCAGCATGTTCTGCTTTTTTCTGGAACTAGAACAGTACACTGGAACTGGTGTGAACTATGCCATTGGAAACCATATAACCCACTATCCATGCATTTTTGATGCAGAAAAGAAACGCAAAGTTGTCTTTCTCCCTGTGGAGGGGACATTTTCTCACCTTCTGTTTTAATAACACGGAAGGGAAAGCTCCATAATGGGGACACAGGCATCAGTAAAGCATTGACAGATATTTCAGCTTTTTCTTGTTCTATACATAATATTTGGCTGGAGTTTTTATGTACTCTAAAATATATCTAAGCATTGCTGTGGTAGATCAATAAATTGAGTGAAACTGGCGTTTCCCAATAGTGTATATTAAAAAAAAAAAAAAACTGCTTGAAGCTCCTTACATTGATGATCATGTGACAAATACACTTAGGCATTCCAGAGGGGTGTCTGTAAAGTTTAATAGTTCGCTATACATTTAATTTCAGAGGCTAAGGTTGTGTGTTTGGCACCTTGCTCTACTTATAGTTACCAGATCAGCACCATTTTATTTCAAGAATTTGTTTCTGTTGCTTTGTAATGTTTTAAAAATAAAATTACCATTTATGTAAAAATATAATCGATAATATTATTAAATGGAAAAAATATTAAATGTATACATATATAATATTTAATAAAAATATAATATTGTAATAAATACGTATGCTTCCTGTTTACAGGCCTATCTGATTAACGTTGTGTGGAACTGCTACAAGTACATCAACAATAGAAACCTCCCTGAGATTGCAGTGTATCCTGCATTTGAAACCCCTCCACAGGTATTTTTTTTATTTTTTATTTATTACAGGTACTCACATTCACATAAGTCCCTAACCCTCAAGGGGTGTACAATGTAAAGTCCATAACTTACATACATACACATAAATAGGGCCAATTTAGACAGGAGCCAGTTAACCTACCCACATGTCTTTGGAGTTTGGGAGGAAACCAGATTACCCGGAGGAAACCCACGCAGGTACAGGAAGAACATGCAAACTCCAAACAAGGTGGTCCCATGGTTGGGATTCGAACCATCGACCCTAGTACTGCCAGGCAGTGCTAGAGTCCATTTAGCCACTGTGCTGCCCAGGTATTAAAACAAGTCAACCATGACTTCCTTTCATGAAACTTGCAGATTTGTATTGATAAAAATGTGAAATCTGAGCTTTGCACAATAGTAGCTATTACTTGGTCTATCTAATACCATCTGCTTAATGGATGGTGGCTCCTTAGGGTAGTTCCCCCTCACCTCTTTTGGGCAGAGCTGTGTAACAGTATGCCGTTGGCTCAACCAGCAGGAGCTTGTCTGCCAAGCACTCTCAAGGACTTGTTCTTGATGGTGTCCCTGCAGCCCCGTTCATGGTGTATTATGAAGTTTTTCATGTTCCACATTTATAAGAATTGTTTTGTCTGCTCCCTCAACCTGTTCGGCAAGAGACCCTGTCAGAGAACAACACCCTAGACTGCAAAGCTTTGTCATGGATATGTGGTTTTGGCAACTTGCACATGTGCCCGCTTCCTTTCGAGCAGTATAGCTGCCTGTGTCAATGGACATTTGTTTGCTTCTGTTGGGTTTTCCATTCCCATACAAATATATGGAAATGCAAAACTTGCTTGAAGCAGGGTAAGTGCAAGTCAGAAGGAGGTCAGTGGCAGGTCAGATAAGCACCTAAACCTTTTCTTGTCAATGAATTGTGAACAATCTCAGAGACCTCTCAAACTGATTCCATCAACATAAGCCAAAGCCTGTTGACACACAGGCCCGAAGGCATTTAGAAAGAAGTAGAAAGGATCTTTGTGGGCAGTTTGTATCCATTCAGACATTTTAAGGATATTTATTTGTCCCCTTGTATCATCTAGAAAGCAGAACATTCACATCATCAGATTTATATGTATGGTGAAATATTGGTGCGTATAAGGTGCTCTGCCAGCCACTGAAAATGAATGGCTGCCTTAACACAGCACAATTTAATGCACAGTAAAATGTTTGCTGTCTAAGCTAGGTCAATGGTATTTTCACATTTGTTCACAGCCTTTGACCATAGCTTGTGTGGCATAGTAAAAGTGTTATTTATTTTTTTTCTACAGATGAGCCCATTATAAATGTATTGCATAATAATTTCTTTCATGTTGTCACTCTTTATTAGTCTGCGTGGCAGCCAAGGTCTGCTATAGTGGAGTTATTCTGCTGTGCATTTCTTAAAGGGTACCCATCAGGGTTGGCAATATAGAAGTTGCCACTGTTAACAGGTTGGAGTACAACCTGTTGAGCTGTCTCCTCAAACATCTGTACTGACCTGAAACAAGTATGTAGGACAGGAATCCATGGTAAGTAAGAAGCTGGCATCAAAAAACAGGGTAGCAGATCCAAATATTTACCCAGATGGCTTCACTTTAGGTAACCTATTAAAGTCCTGACTGCCCTGAGCCACCTAGGCTGGCAGACTTTTTGCAACAAGTCACTGCAGGGAGATAAAACTGTCTTGTTACGATGTACAAGAAGGGCAGGTATGGCAACTACATTTTTGGTGTGCCTTGTAGTCTGTTTATGAACAACATTGTAATACTAACTATTCCAATCTCTTGCAGTATATCCTGCCTACGTATGAGATGGCCATAAAGATGCCAGAGAAGGAGAAGGACCCTCCACCTCCGTACATCCAGACCAGTGAAGCCTCATAACCTTGTCTAATGTGTCTTCTCATACTGCTTAACAAAGAATCCGAGTTTTCTCATCGTCCTGCTCATCCCGCACAATAACATACCCTAAACCAAGTCCTTATTTTTATATAACATAATGCTTCTATTGCCTTACTCTTAAAATAAGAAAGGTCGACTATTACTTATGACAATCTCTTATTTGATTATAGTTTACATGAGTAGTAGTTTAGTGGGGTTGTAAAACAATTAGGGGTACTTCTTTTTATGATATTTCATTTGTGTTGCAATATTTGCTTTGTTGTCTTTTCATGCCTTAACCCTATCACTTCTGGACTGCTATGCTACATATTGCTGGCAATGCATTGGTGTTCCACCCAGCAGTGAGGGCATAAATGAAGAAAAGCAGAAATATTTTCTTGAGTAAAATTTTTATAAAACAAACAAAAAAAGTTTTAGATGGAGTGTTTTTGTTTTACAGCATGCCGTTGTGCTTGTGGAACTCATCTCACTTGTCTGTGATCTAAGATATTTTGATTAATAAATCTGTCTCAAAATCTAGAGTGTTTCATTCTTGGACAATCCATTCTTCGCCTATGATTATGTTGTGGCTGTTAATTTTAGGGTACAGTTTAACTGGAAGCGACACACACACACACTGAAGGAAATATGTATTTGATCCCCTGCTGATTTTGACTGTTTGCCTACTCTTTGCCATCAACTCAACTCGCCGTGTTTGGAGGAGGAGGAATGCTGCCTATGACCCCAAGAACACCATCCCAACTGTCAAACATGTGGTGGAAACATTCTGCTTTGGGGGGGAATTTTCTGCTAAGGGGACAGCAAAACTGCACTGCATCAAAGGAACGATGGACGGGGCAATGTACCGTCAAATCTTGGGTGGGAACCTTCCTCCCTCAGTCAGGGCATTGAAAATGGGTCGTGGATGGGTGTTCCAGATTGACAATGACCCAAAACACACGGCCAAGGCAACAAAGGAGTGGCTCAAGAAGAAGTACATTAAGGTCCTGGAGTGGCCTAGCCAGTCTCCAGACCTTAATCCGATTGAAAATTTGTGGAGGGAACTGGAAGTTTGAGTTGACAAACGTCAGCCACCAAACCTTAATGACTTGGAGAGGATCTGCCAAGAGCAGCGGGCCAAAATCCCTCCTAAGATGTGTGTAAACCTGGTGGCCAACTACAGGAAACGTCTGACCTCTGTGATTGCCAACAAGGGATTTGTCACCAAGTATTAAGTCATGTTTTGTGAAGGGGATCAAATACTTATTTCCCTCATGAACATGTGCCAATCCGTGCTTAATTTGTTAGACATGCATTTCTTTTGAATTTTTGTTGCTATTCTGTCTCTGTGTTACAATACACCTACCATTCGATTTTTAGACTGATATTTCTTTGTGAGTGGCAGACATTCAAAATCAGCAGGGGATCAAATACTTATTTCCTTCACTGTACATACACACGCACCACACACACTTTAGTAAATCTTCCCCAGTGTGTATGTTTTCAGGCCTGCTCCTTTTGTGTTTTTTTTTATTTTCTTCTTCAATATGTTTTTATTATCGTTCAGCAAAAAAAAATTGTGATAGTCTACTAATTTAATCAAGTTAAAATCTAAGACATAAATGTGGATCATCTCAATGCAAGACTTCAAATCATTGGATCTCAAGTCTGATAAAAGGCACAAAGTAACATTCAAAAATTGTATACAATGATAGAGTATAATTGGATAGCAATACATCCCTGAACACCAAAACAAACTGCATAAATGTTGCATAGTCCATTCACACTGATGGGGAAAAAAATGTCATCCGCAAAATAAAGGAGACCTACTGAATATTAGGTGGGTGGTCAAAAAGTTATGATTTATCGGTGTATACACACACATTGAGTAATATGCTAACCCAGCTTAAGCCTTAAAAAGCACAGTCAACATGGTCAAATGACTGAAAGAGACAAAAGGACATTGCGCAGGATTGTGACCCGGAATAAGGAAACAACTGCTGCAACAGTGACTGCAGAGCTCAATCGCAGTCTTCCAAAGCCCGTGTCCACAAAAACTGTGTTGAGGGAGCTCCATAAGCAATAAGCATTCATAGCCGAACTTCAATTTCCAAACCACTAGTGACCGATATTAATGCTCAGAAGAGGAGAGAATGGTGCAACACCCATAAATCATGGACTATCGATCAATGGAAGATTGTAGTATGGTCTGATGAATTGATCGTCACACTGTTCTCAACCACCGAATGTGTTTACGTGTAGTAATCTTACAACCAGGACTTTCTTGTGCCAATGGTGAAGTGTGGTGGTGCAATCATGGTTATGGCAGCCATACCTTGGTATTCTGCAGGCCCAATTTTCGCCTTGAAAGTTAGTCACTGCCAACGACTGTACAAATTATGGCTGACCATGTGTACCCCATGGGACAGACCTTGTTTCCTGAAGACCAAAATGATAATGCTTCAATTCACAGCTGGTGTTGTCAAATCGTAGTTTGACAAGCTTGCCGATGAAGTCTCACACCTTCCCTGAATCCCGCAGTCACCAGACCTCAATATCATAGAGCCACTATGGTCAATTTTAGAGAAAAAGGTTCGGACTCATTCTCTGCCTCCACTGGACAGCCAGCAATAGCACAATGGTAGCAAAAGTATCTAGTGCGTCCCCTCACAATTCGGCAACCACCCTAACCTATACCTGGCCATTGCAGCAAGGAGCACATGGAAGGGTGATATGTCAAAAAAAAAAAAAAAAAAAATTCCCAGCTCACTTACCTGCCTGCAGCAAACCGAATTACCCTTACAATTCACGTTAAAACCCCTTGTTTTAATGTGAATTGTTAGGGTAATTGTGCTATTGCTGGGTATCCAGTGTGTCCCTTATACCTTTTAAGGAGGGGTGGGCTCCCTCCAGGCACACATACCCTCAATTTATCTAATATAACAGTATGTGCTTCAATTTTGGAGACTCTCAAAATTTAGCATTAGGACTACAGTACAGTGGGGTTCAGTGGTGTGGCCTTTGCAGCCTATGCATATATTTGCAAATGTGTGCAAACGAAACCCCTTGTTTTAACGTGAACTGTTAGGGTAATTTGTTTTGTTGCAGGCTGGCTGGTAAGTGAGCTGGGAAATTTTTTTTTTTTATGTCACTAGCGGCCAACACTGCTCTGCAAAATCCCCAACTGCAGAGAGGACATGGACAGAAGGGGGAGCCAGAGAACAGGAATCAACCAGGTTTTTTCCTGAATACAGAAAATTAATCCCAGTGACTGCAAGTGAATTTGAACAGCATGTAATTCAACATTTATTGATTGTTTTTTTAATGAAGTGGTTTAATGACACTTCAACCTCACAAAGCTATGATATACTACATTATTATTTTTATTTAAAATATATATACACGCACACACGAAACTCAAAAAATTAGAATATTGTGAAAAGGCTCAAAGTGTCCTACTCTAATCATCTAATTAAGCCATAACACCTGCAAATGGTTCCTGAGCCTTTAAATGGTCTCTCAGTCTGGTTCAGTAGGAATCACAATCATGGGAAAGACTGCTGACCTGACAGTTGTGCAGAAAACCATCGACACCCTCCATAAGGTGGGAAAGCTTCAAAAGGTAATTGCAAAAGAAGTTGGATGTTCCCAAAGTGCTGTATCAAAGCACATTAATAGAAAGTTATGTGGAAGGGAAAAGTGTGGAAGAAAAAGGTGCACAAACAGCAGGGATGACCGCAGCCTTGAGAGGATTGTCAGGAAAAGGCCATTCAAAAGTGTTGGGGACTTTCACAAGGAGTGGACTGAGGCTGGAGTCAGTGCATCAAGAGCCACCACACACAGACGGATCCTGGACATTGGCTTCAAATGTCGGATTCCTCTTGTCAAGCTGCTCCTGAACAACAAACAACGTCAGAAGCAGCTTACCTGGGCTAAAGAAAAACAGACCTGGTCTGTTGCTCAGTGGTCCAAAGTCCTCTTTTCTGATGAGAGCAACTTTTGCATCTCATTTGGAAACCAAGTTCCCAGAGTATGGCGGAAGAATGGAGAGGCACACACTGGAAGATGCTTGAAGTCCAGTGTGAAGTTTCCACAGTCTGTGTTGATTTGGGGAGCTATGTCATCTGGTGTTGGTCCACTGTGCTTCATTAAGTCCAGGGTCAACGCAGCCATCTACCAGGAGATTTTGGAGCACTTCATGCTTCCTTCCGCAGACGATCTTTATGGGGATGCTGACTTAATTTTCCAGCAGGACTTGGCACCTGCCCACACTGCCAAAAGCACCAAAACCTGGTTCAATGACCATGGGATTACTGTGCTTGATTGGCCAGCAAACTTGGCTGACCTGAACCCCATCAAGAATCTATGGGGCATTGCCAAGAGAAAGATATGAGACCGAACAATGCAGAAGAACTGAAGGCCGCTATTGAAGCATCCTGGTCTTCCATAACACCTCAGCAGTGCCACAGGCTGATAGCTTCCATGCCACGCCGCATTGAGGCAGTAATTGCTGCAAAAGGGGCCCAAACCAAGTACTGAGTACATATGCATGCTTATACTTTTCAGAGGTCCGATATTGTTTTATGTACAATCCTTGTTTTATTGATTGCATGTAATATTCTAGAAATCCAACAGACCCAACAGTCATGACATGCATGCTGCTGATTCTGTGTAATTGAATCACTAATTGAAAGGGGCATGTTCAAAATAATAGCAGTGTGGAGTTCTATTAGTGAGGTCATTCATTCTTTGAAAAACAGGTGGCAATTATTGCCCTTATTTAAGGAAGGAAGGCAGCAAATGTTGTGCATTCTTCTCTGAAATTCTGAGGCAAATGGGTCGTTCCAGACATTGTTCAGAAGAACAACGTACCTTGATTAAAAAGTTGATTGGAGAGGGGAAAACATATAAAGAAGTGCAGAAAATGATAGGCTGCTCAGCTAAAATGATTGCAAATGCTTTAAAATGGCAACCAAAACCTGAAAGACGTGGAAGAAATAAAA